CGTTGTTAGACGTCGGTGAAGTTTCGGATGATCACATGAGTTTGATATGTACGGCAACAAAAGTATAATAACGTTAAATTATTATAATACAAGTAACTCAAAGTTGAAAAGTTATATACGAGTCTAATAGGCTATCCACAATTACAAATTTTACCTAAGAACATGAATAGACCATCTATAAACGATGTATGAGTTTCGGGAGTAGCATCCTCGACGGACACTTCACTATTACCATAAGTTATTCCTTTCGCGTATTGTTCAAAAGCATACCCATTATTGACCACTTCCGACGAGAATAAAGGTTTCGGAAATTTTGTGTCCGTTTCTTGACTTTTGTCTGACTCAATTTGACCTTTTAAGTATTTTAAGCCTTCAAAGTTTTTCGGAATCAACAGGAATGTACTTTCGCTAATGCGTGGTTGGAAAACGGCAGACATGGTTATTATTTGATTTTGCAACAATAACAGTAACAGTAACAACATTAACTACTAATAATAACTAAAAACTTACCCCTTTTGATTCAAAGCACTTCCTAATGATGCATCAGCCAACACCCAATCTTGACCATACATTGATATTTGTTGAATAATTTGCAACTGGGAATTAGCAGTAAATCCTTGACGAACAAATGACCCTGATAAACGCGCAGATTTGCCGACAGGCGGATTTACTTCAATAAAATGTTCTTTTGCAAAATTAATAAAGGCTAACACATCATCAATCGTTGTCATTGCGCCTAGGGAGATACGGACCGATCCAATCGGTTTCTTATTCACAATATCTCGACTATCCCCACACGATTTTCCTGACTAGAAATGAAGAAGGCCACAAAAATAAAAGTTATTTAAATTGATTGACATAATATACAGAATTAAACATTGCTCCCATCGAAATAACTTTTCAACAAAACGAGTTTTACCTTGTAAGCCGTCATCATCTCGTCCTGAGTAATATTAAACCACTTGGTAACGCTACCAGGATTGCAAAAACCTCCCACTCTCAAGTGTATATTATTGCTGCATGCCAAGTTTTCTACTTCTACATATCCTATCCATGACCCATCAGCCTTCTTAAAGTTAAGGTTCAAGATTGGTCCTTGCGCTTTTGGATCGTGAAAATCTCTAGAACTAAATATTTCGCAAACAGGCACTCCGTTATAATGTTTCATTGCGGACAGCTGCGAATAAAGATAGGATATAAGCGCGGATGTGTGCATGTTGACGTAATTGATCGACTTATAAAGGTTTTCGAATGCAGCAAACGCATGAGAAAGTGCGATAATATTTAAAAAGTTTATGGTTCCATCCTCAAAAGTTTCTGAGATGGATGGCCAAAATTGAGCATAATCTGCATCATAGAGAAGTCCCGAAACTATACAAGATGTCGATATGGAAAGACGTTAGTTTAGTCGACGACGATGAAATTTCGTACTTATCAAAAAACTGCCCAATATATGTATGCTTACCTGTCCCACCACCAAAATAGCGCTTTTTCAAAATTGGCGCAAGTTCGGTCTTTACCAGTAAAGCACCGAGCCCAGTTGGATATCCAAACAATTTGTAAAAGCTTAGATCTACGAAATCAGGTGACGATTTGGTGTCTCTTAAAGACAGTTGTGATGAAGTGACATATGATGCTGCGTCTAACAAAACCAATACTTTTGACGTCTCTGTACTATGATTTTCTTTCATGCGTTGTGTCCAGTTTAACGGGAACTTCATTCCCGAAAAGTTACATTGACCAGGATACGCAAAAAGATTATAGACAACTTGGCCATCATCTTGCGCTTTAAGCTGACTGTTATTACGACCAGTTTCAATAAAGATTTCTACTTCTGCTTCGGTAAGCACGCCGATATCAGCTCCATGTTCCTTAGCAAGTGTTCTCAAACCAACAATGCTTGTATGATTTTCTCTCAAATATTTAAACCAGCTTTTTTTGCTCTGCCATGGAAAGATTTCTCCAACTAGTTTTATTGCAGCAGTTGAATTTTGAGTAAACACTACTTGATAATCTCCGGGAGTGCAATCAAAGTAGTTGAGAATTTGATTGCGGACAGCCTCGACCTTTTTTGTTGCCAGCATGGAGCTTGGAGACTTGCTGTGTGGGTTGCCATAGAGGTTAGCGGTGAGATCAGCTTTAAGGTTTTCGAGAGTGCTTTGAGGGTATGTTGTCGTTCCTGCATGGTCTAGATAGACGCCATCTTTTTATGGGAGTACAGAATATAATATAAGAATTATGCTTAAATTAATGTATTACAAAGAAAAGCCTTAAATTAAATCATCATACTTTTTAATTGCGGGTACTCCTCTTCTCTAATCTGATCAATTCTTCCATTGTAACCATATCTATCGCCATGTTCGTCTAAGAAGGCTTGTTTTTCTGATTGAACTTGAGCAAAGCGCAAAATTTTTTCCTCATCTTTGTGAGTTGATGATGATGATACAGCTATAAAATATGGAAGGGTTCTATAATTAATATAACCATTTTCTCACATTATGTAAACTGACCATAATTTATTTACCGTGTTCTTTTACAATCTTCATATAAACTTCTTCCTTGTTTTCAGTAATAATTTCATTGAATGCACGTTCACTCTCGCCGTCATGTTTTGTGTTTATTGATTCCATCTCATCCGATGCTTAATAAAATCTCTATGTAAGTAAAGTTGTGGTAAATTTTTCTCGATGAGCGTAGCGCGCGATTACATTTTTTATAACCCGTACAGATGCATGGTTACTTTTCCTTTTACAGCATCTGCACACAAATTGCATCCAATTATTTTCTTTTACTCGATTTATTTTTATCACGACAACGGGTACGTTAACAAAAGGAATGTTCACCCGTTAAGGAAGCCACAAAAGACGTTTAAATAAAGTTGTACATTTTTGAGATGCCTGTCAGCAGCGGTTTATGCATCTCCTACTCGGTGAAACAACTGTAAAGCAGTCCGATAAAGTACTAGTCGGCTTGCACCGCCCGACATGTGACAAATTTAAATTTCTATATTCGCCCATCGGACCAGATAAACAAAGGATAAACAAAATTCATTGCAGTCGAAACGAGGGGAAATCGAACTTGCACCGCCCGACATGTGAAATATTTAAATTTCTATATTCGCCCATCGGACCAGATAAAAGAAATGAACGAAATTCATTGTGGTCGAAACGAGGAGAAATCGAACTTGCACCGCCCGATATGTGACAAATTCATTCTGTTTAAATTTCTATATTCGCCCGTCGGACCGGATAAAAGAGATAAACAAAGAATAAACAAAATCCATTGCGGCCGAAACGAGGAGAAATCGACTTTTGTGTGTGTTAAGTAAATGTGCTCCATTATTCGATTTGTCAAACATGGAATAATCTACAGACAATAATTTAGAGACTATACTAACAAGCATTTCTTCGGTTGTCGCTTAAACTTATGGCTAAAGCATTATTAAAGGAGTGGAAGTTATGCTATCGAAAAGTTTACACCAAATTCGATGAGTTTCGAATTACACTTGGTCTCTTGCTATTGCTTACTTGGATATATTATTAACCCAGGAATCTGCCATTAACAACAGAAATAACATTTAGAGTTCCAGAGCCACTATTACTATAAAAAATGTGTTATATAATGATACATTGTTATATATCTAAATATAGTTCTCTTACTATCAACTCAATCTTGATGCTTTCAATTAACGAAGCAGGGGTGCATTGTTATGATTGAAGACTGAATATCGCTGCATTAATTGTTATGACTGTACGTTTAACAAATAATTGTTAACGTTTAAGTTAAATCCATTTAAATTTCTATATTCGTATTAGACTACTAATGCAATGCAATGTAAACTAGACAGCGAACCGACTGTCAATTTTGATTGGTGTGATTTATGATTACACCTGATACTCAGCCACAATTGTCTCACGATTTGTAGTCCGACACGAATATAGAAATTTAAATGGATTGACATTGGGGCTGTGCCTAGTTCCACGACATCAGGTGAAATTCACACGATTGGTAGATCGGCTCACGTAACATTTCGCGAAAACATAGAATATCAAAAGAATAGGATAAATTCCTAGATTAGCAAATGTTAAAGGAAACGCAACAACGTACAGCAGGAATAGCTATGCATCTCGTATCGTTTATAAAAACGCAACCCCTTTTTGCGAAATGACATCACGCAACGACTGATCAATATACCAGTCATAGTAAGTTCCTGGGATAGAACCTTTCACGCGAAGCAGGATATCTATATCATAACTTTGATCAAGCAAACAAAGGTTTCATCAAGCAACGACTGATCAATATACCAGCCATAGTAAGTTCCTGGGATAGAACCTTTCACGCGAAGCAGGATATCTATATCATAACTTTGATCAAGAAAACAAAGGTTTCATCAAGCATTGAACGAGATGGAATCAATAAACACAAAACATGATGCCGAGGGCGAACGTGTGGTCAGCGAAACTGTTACTGAACATAGAGAAGAAGTACATATTAAAATTTCAGAACACGGTAAATGAATTAAGGTCAAATCTAGATAATTAAGGCAATGATTAATTTATAAACCCTTTCCGCTGTATCATCGTCCACTCACATAGATAAAGAAAACACTTTGCACTCTGCTCCACTTCAAGCTGAGGAGTCGATATCAATATCATGGACCAAGCTGACGTATACTATTACGAATAAAAAGACTAAGAAACCGGAAAATATTATCGAAAACTGTTGCGGTACTGTCAAACCTGGAGAAATTTTGGCGAGTAAGTGACTAAAGAACGGCATAATCAAGACTGTTCTTGATCACTCTGTAGCTTATTTATATTCACCATCTTCCTTGTATGCTTTTTGCTATTTAATCAGTTATGGGCCCCTCTGGCGCAGGCAAAAGCACTCTATTGGATGTTCTGGCCGGTAGAAAGGATCCCAAAAATGTTACCGGGACGATTTACTTGAATGGAAAAAGTGGAGAGAACGTGAAGTTTGTATCGACGTATGTTATGCAGGATGATGCTTTAATGGGTGAGTTAAAGTTTGTATTCATCATACCGCGATGGATACAACCATTCTAACGGATATTCATATCTACCATACCACAGGTTCTCTAACTGTCCGCGAGAATATCCAATTTGCTGCAGACCTCTGCTTCCCATCGACGATTTCGTCTAAAGAGCGCCGTCAAAAAGTCGCCGCAATAATCAAAGAATTTGGACTTGAACGTGTAGCTGATCACAAGGTTGGAAACATAATCATCCGCGGCATCTCTGGTGGCGAAAAACGACGTACTGCTATTGCCTCGCAATTTGTCACTCATCCCAAGATAATCTTCCTTGATGAGCCCACAACTGGTTTAGACTCGGCTGCTGCGTACAGTGTCATGAATGCTATTATAACCACGGCAAAGATGTATAAATTGACTGTAATTGCCAGTATCCATCAACCGAGCTCAGAGGTGTTTGCCTTGTTCGATAAATTGTATTTGATTTCCCGTGGAGGAACCGTATACCACGGATCGCGTGAGGGGGCATTAGAATATTTCAAAGACCAAGGCTATGAGTGTCCCGAACATGCGAATCCAGCTGATTTCTATTTATCAAAAATCAATGTCGACTTTATGTCAGATAAAGTAGTTGGAGAGGCACATATTCAAGCGCTGATTGGGAAATACAAAGAATCTTCGGCCAAACTATTGGTAGATAAAGAAATCGACGAGTTATCTGTCCTGATTGACAAAGAAGATGCAGCAAGTGACAAACTATCGACATCCACAACAACACAAGGGTACAATCGATACGCTAGAGGATTCTTCGCCCAGACTTATTTTATCACCAAACGCTCATTCACAAATGCTTACCGCAATATCCTTTTATACTGGATTCGCGTAGCAATGTATGTCTGTTTGGCACTGCTGATGGGATCGGTGTGGTGGCAAGTGGAATTCGACCAGAAAAATATTCAAGATAGGTTCTCGGCCCATTTCTTTTCGGTTGCATTCCTTGTGTTCATGAGCGTTGCTGGTATTCCTGGATTCCTCGAAGAGCGTGTGGTATTTCGCCGTGAGAGAGCCGATGGATTCTACTCGGTCGGGCCATACGCGTTGGCCAATTTCATTGTGTCAATTCCGTTTGTGTTTGTCATTGCTTTGACATTCACCATTGTTGCGTATCCGATGATTGGCTTGCACTCGGGATTCAACCATTTTATGTTATTCCTAGCGTTTTTGTATCTTGCATTGATGGTTGCCGAATCAATGGTCGTGTTTGTGGCTGCAGTGCTTCCGATATTTGTTGTCGCATTGACCATTGTTGCATTCCTAAATGGATTCTTTATGGTCGTGCAGGGATTTTTCGTCAGAAGAGACTCCATTCCACATGGATGGAAATGGGCCCATTATATTGATTATCAGAAATATGCGTTTGAAGCCATAATTAAAAATGATTTTGTTGGGCTGACGTTCAATTGTGACGTTGTTGAGGATGAATCTACCGGTCTCAGCAGGTGTGCGTGTTTTTATGGAGATACAAGTGGCAAGTCGTGTACATTTACTGGCCAGGATGTGTTGAATGCGTTTGGGTATACTGAGATAAAGCTATGGTTATGGGCGGTGAGTATACATATGTTTGTGCAAGGAAGCGTATAAAGAGAATTATGTATTGATGCAGAGTGGTTATAAGCATTTGAGTTAAACAATATGTAATAATTTAATAGATTTTATTGACTTACTGGTTATTTCTTTTTCTTCTCTTTCGGTAGGTTGCTTTGCTTGGATTGACCATAATATTTCGCATTGGATTTTACGCCGCCTTACGTCTCCGTAAGAACAGACTCTAGATGTCTCCATTCTATTTGTAGCATTATTACTTATCGTAGCATCAGAACAAATTAATTGATTTAGTTGGTAATATTGTCAATGAGCGACACAAATTGAAGAATAATACTGTTGTACTTTAACTCTAGAATAGAATGTTATTGAAATCTGTAATGGATAATGCGGTGATGATAGATTTATACTTAAGGCAATCTCTACTCAATTGCCCTGGAAATAAAGTCGTTTGGGTTGACTTAACTCCTGTCTTCTCCTAGTAATGTAAGCAATCAGTGGTAACCTGTTACTTTGGCTGGGATACTATTAACCTGAGTAACTTGCTCAATACACTCGCGCGTCAAATCCCTAGCTAAATACAAAAATTCTATAAGCAGAATTACACAGTGTGTATCGCTTCACAACAACCTCTCCTCCTCCAAAGCGCAAATACAACGTTATCAAAAAGTTAATATAAGACGAACAAGCCCTTTGCTGCCACTACTCCATATCACGCACATACGACAGTTTGCCACAACGAAGAACATATTTCATTTTGTTGTTTGAACTATCAATCATTTAAAAACTTGAAATTTGTGAATTAATGGATAAATCTAAACTTGTAAAAACAAATGAGGTCAGTAAAATGACCAAGTGTATATATGTTGAGTATTATATTAGTGTGTAAGTTACGCTGTTAGATGATGGGAACATCTGGGTGGGACACGGCCCTTTGGGTTGTTAAAGTCCATGACATTTTCAACTGATTCTAATGTAGACACTAATATCTGAAAGATGTTCCTTCGGCTCGTTTAGTAAGGTGATATGATGAGA